AGTAAGAGAAATTTAGGATAAGAATACGAACATGTTCTTGCATGAGGCCCATTGTTTTTCTATTCTTGCACAATTCTTCATATTATATTTTTATTTGTATTAGTAGTAGTTGTATCATGGCTAGTCAGTGTTAATTTTGTTTTGTGTGCACTATCTATAGTTTGTAAAGTAACTAGTGTGTGAACCTTTGTACTGATGCTGCTGTGACAGCTGAATTTCCCCTCTGCGGGACAATAAAGGCTATTTCTATTCTATTCTATTCTATTCTATTCTATTCTATTCTATTCTATTCTATTCTATTCTATTCTATTCTATATGTCACTAACCGGGTCAAGAGCAGAGCCTTTAAAGCTTATAATTAATAAATGTGGTTGGTGACACTGGACAATGAAAGCACAGTAACAAATCTCATCTCCAGCTGCAGGGATTGGTTTGGTGGACTTGGTAAGAATTCCTCTGGAGAGTATTAAATGGATATAAAAGGGCAGCAGTAATGTGTTGTGCACTGATTCCACTTGGCTGCACACAATCAGACCAGGACAATGAAAAAAAAAGTATATTAGAGCTCTGCTGAAGAATTTTAAAGGAAAAAAAACTGTGAAAGTGTGCCCCCTGTTGGCGCCGGATAACAGTAAAAATGAAGCTGCATAAAAGATAAAGAGCATAAGCCAAAGTTGAAGTTAATAATCTTAAATATGCAGAGTGTCTTAAATTCTTTATGGGTTAAAGGTCAAATGCCTTTTTTTGTATCATGTCTATTTAAATGCAAAGAATTTACACAGTATTTCTTATTCTACATATTTTCTTTCAAAGTTTTAAGCTTCTTTTTGGGAAAATTGAAAAAAAAAAAGTGTCCACCCAATAGACAAACTGTAATCCCAAACTTCTTGTGAGATCTTTACAGCCTGTAGCAATTTCATCTTAAGGCCAGTTCCCCAGTTTCTCATAATATTTTGTTCTTCATCTCCTCTCTGCTCCAGGGGACCAACAGCCACAACAGTGCAATTTGTTGTTAATTCTACTAAAAACTTATTATTATAACAAGCTTCTTTCAAACTTCTGTATTTCAGGAGTTCTGCAGTGTTTTTATAAACAAAAAATAAGTTGAGTCACAATTGTGATCAGCGTTGCATCAACATAAACAATTCTAATGATATTCGCATATAAAATCAATTTTGCAATGTTTTTGTATTAAATCATACACAAAAAGGAAGATAGCAGTATTTTGAACGCAATAATACTTAACGAAATACTGTCGTTTCCCTTATCGTAATTGGTTAATTATAAGGTTAGTAAAATGTTTACATACTTGAAGGAAGAAAAGATGCTGCGTGATATCTTGCACTAGTTCCTCCTCGACATTTTCAGGGTAAAACTTGGCCAGGAAGTGAAAAGTGAGTGGTTCTTCTTTTGGCACCTCTTGGTCTAAAACCTAGAAGCCGATAAATCCGAATGTCCACAGTGAAAATTGAGTTTCCTACATATATAATCACGATATTCAGATTGGAATGTGACAAGTGAAACATGAGATTAACCTTCTTCTTCATCTTCAGCCACGCCACAGTGTCCTTTATGATGTACTGAAGCCCGAAGAACCATGTCTCCCTTAGCCCCAGAGTCCGGCACACCAAGTCAAAAAGATCTTTTCCTTTCCACTTGACCTGAAATGAATACATTTTATTCTATTATTCTCACAGGATATATAATAAGTGACTTTAATTTATTACTGGAATAAAACATAGTACATATATTTTATTACTGCAAAGATAAAGGTACAAAAAATACAAAACATAAAAGGAAAATGTCCTGATGCATCTCAGTAATCCAGGTAGAAAATCAAAAAGAAAAAAATTGTATAGGTCTTCTGGACGGGTTCTTCTCTAATGAAACGTTTCGTCTCTCCTCCAAGAGACTTCTGACTTCTGACTTCTTCTGAGAGTTTCAGGCAAAATTCAGGCTTTTAAGCACTGCCTCCATGTGACTGATACTCACATCACATGGCTGTCGTTGACACCTAATTAACACCTATTGTTAACAGGGGGTGGAGTGATACTGGCAATAGCAGCACTGTAGGAGGGGGACAACTGAAAACGGAGGCCATCATTAAACAGAGGTGGAGGCCTCCATTTTTAGCTGTCCCCCTCCTACAGTGCTGCTATTGCCAGTATCACTCCACCCCCTGTTAACAATAGGTGTTAATTAGGTGTCATCGACAGTCATGTGATGTGAGTATCAGTCACATGGAGGCAGGGCTTAAAAGCCTGAATTT